TCTCTGCACGTGAGGCTCTCGCCCAACTCTGCCGTCTGCTCTTCCTTGTGGCCCTGGGGCAGCTGGCTGTTGGCCTAGATTCATTTTTGTTTGCATTTGTTCTGCTGGGCGTGATTTGGGGCCCTTGTTTCTGGGAGACCCCCGTCTCGTTGTGTTTTCTGTCTCCTGGCGTCTGTGCTGCATGCCAGGAGGCCCCTCCAGTGCTGCTCTTCAGCTGTGTCTCGTTCTCTGTGAAGACACGGCCGTGGGACTTGTAACACTGCTCATTGTACTTTTACTTCTGGAAGGTCTGTTTTTTTGTACCAAGTCTGATGGATCATTCTTAGTTTTCCCACCTGTTTATCTCCCTAAGCCATTGTTTTAAATTCATATCTGGTCAGATCCAGCGAGTTGGAGGCTTTTCCCGGCTGCATTCCCTTCTCAGTGCCTGTCCACTTTGGACCTCCTTTGGTGGCTGCCTGTTCTTAGGACCAGTGAGCATCTCAGAGGAAGCTGCTGTCGAGAGTTGGGAAGAATGCTGCTTTGCCACAGCCGCTCCCATTTGTTTCCTCTTTGCTCTTGGTCATTGCCCTGAGCATACTGTGCCGTGCACTTTCTGACATGGTTATTGTCGGGAAGCAATGAGTCTGAACATACTTAACTGCACACTCATGTACTAGTTATTGATTTTATGCCTCTACAAGATAGAAAGTGAGAATATTTAGTTTTTGACAGAACAAAGTCCCAATTTCAAGTCTAATTAAATATCATTTTAAAAGGAAACAGTTGCTTCAGTTAATCAGCAGTGGTCACCAGCATGGCACAGTCAGTGCAAATAATCAGTGTACTTCAGCTGGACCCGTGACCTGCTGCTGGTACCGAGCGTGCCCATCCAGACTGGGCCTGATTCTCACTCCATCACCAGGGCATCTGAATTCCCTGTTGCTAGTTGGTTACACACCCATTATAGTCCCCTAACTTAGAGTCAGCTGCTTTCATAAGAGGATTTCCTGAGACTAGGAGCAGCCACAAAGTCTGGAAAGATGGTGGTGCTGGGTTTGCAGCTGCACTTTCAGCCCTGGGGACACTAGGAGTTGGAGGCCAGAGAGGCCACCGAGCTGATTGTCCCCCTAACTTCTGTTTTTCCCTTTCCACCTTTTTGGGCTGCCTCACTCCCTACTAATTTCATAGGACAGCTCTAGCTGGTGAGAAGAGGGACCGGATTGCCGCTCTAGGCCCACCCCTGGACCTGCTGCTCAGCCTCAGACCAGTTTCCTCGGGTTCCAGTCTCCTCTCTCCTGGGTTTCTCTCTCTTCTGTTTTGCAAGGAATATAAAACTTCTGGCTGCCTTTCCTGACTTTACTCGTAACCTTGTAACTGTTCTGCTCCTGGGGTTCATTAGCTTCTTTCTGCTATCAGAATTTCATGTAAATGGGATTGTCAGTATATTCTTTGATGTTTCTCTGATTTGTTAATATGATTACATTAATTGATTTTCATACACTGAATAACCTTTGCTTTCTCATCAACTCAGTGAGGCTTGATCACCTTTTAGAAGTATTATTTGATTGTGTTTGCTCACATTTTGTGTTGGGTATTTATTGATTGATTGGAGACTTTGCTGCCTAGGTATTACGCATGGTGCTGTCACAGGTACCTGTAAGCTCCAGGTCCTGGGCTCAAGTGATCCTTCTGTCTCAGTCTCCCGAGTAGCTGGGACTACAGGCCTGTACCACCTTGCCCAGATGATTTTTCTATTTTTTATAGAGACAGGGTCTTGATGCATTGCTCAACTTCATAGCCTCAGGCTACCAAATTACTGGATTACAGGTGTGAGCCACCGTATCCAACCTGTGCAGGATTTTTGTATCTTGTGTTTGAAAGACAAGCCTCTGCTTTTCCTTCATCATCTTCTTGACAGAAATGTTCTTGTTGAATATTAGGTTTGTCAACAATCACAAGGTCCATAAATGCAAAAGAGGAAATGAGATTTTTATTTCTTGTAAAGGGTGGCAGCCTGCAAGGGGGCGGTTCTGACAGTCTCGGAAGCCCCAGAGGGCACTTCCAGGGAGGGAGGGTGGGACAGACGCCTAAGCCCAGCAGGCTGGCGGAGTGCATGCGTCCAGCAGGGCACAGGAGGAGCGCTGAATGTTCATGAGGGTGGTCCTGATGCTGTGCGCTGCTCAGACACTGTAACATACGCCCGTGTCCACTCTGGGTGGAGGTCGCCATTTAAATGGGGTACAGTTCAGCCTTCTGCATCAAGAGGTGAAGCAGAGACACACAAGTGCACAGCCTCAGTGAAACCAGCTGAACCAGCCCACGGTCAGGGTGGAACCAGCTGAACCAGCCCACGGTCAGGGTCTCTCACTGGAGAAAGTTGCTGCCATCAGTGTCTTGTCCCATTGAGCTGTGGTTACAGCTGCTGGGATGGAGGGAGGGCATCAGCGTGTGGATGAGCTGCCCTGTTTGAACGTTGCTTATCTCAGGCAGTGCCTGTGTAGCTGCTGGAGAGGCAAGGACACCTTGTGGCAGGGGGAACAGGGCTTAACCTTTAAGTGTAGGATGCGAGGCCTGGCCTCAGGTCCTGTTTATAATTTGGTGTCTTGCTGCCACTAAGACTCCATTCTCTGATGTCTATTTTAATATTAATGCTGGTCAGTTGTGTCTCAGTTCCAAAAGGGAGGGGGTTCAGTTGGTGGGAGGGATTAGTATTTTATTTTAGTTTATAGGTTTAGGCCGAGTGTTCTTTGCATGGTGACGTTTGTTTCCTGACTCTGACTCTTTAATGTCTGTAGTTTTGTCACATTTTGTGTTTCTTCCTGAGTCAGTTTTGGATAAGTTGTATTTCTCTTGGAATTTGTTCATTATACCTAAATTTACAAACTTTGTGGAATCAAGTTCTTAATACCCTCTTATTACATGTTTAGTGTTATCAGAATTTAAAGTGATAATTCTGTTTTCGTTTACTCTTTCATCTGATGACCTATCTCAAAACTTAGTGACATAGAACAGTCACCACTTTATGATGCTCATGGCTGGCAGATCAGGGATTTGGTGTGCTGTGGTTTCCGGGACCTCAGCCAGGTTGTTTGAGTGTCTGCAGCTCTACTGCTGCTGTGGGCTGGGTTCCTTGCTCTTCTCAGCATCCTGTCCAAGAAGGTGTCTTGGTGACAGGCTGGCTGGCGTCTTTCTCTCTGCAGCTGCCCCACGTGGCTAGCACTGTCCTCTTCACAGTGTATCTGAGCTGGCTTCCCCAGGGAGGGTGTTCCAAGAGATAGCAAGTTGAAGCCCACATCCCTGGAAGTGCCACAGCCACTCCAGTGAATGGACCAGCGTGGTCACCTGGCCTGCTAGGACTCACAGGGCATGAGAAGGACCCTCTGCTCAAGGATAACAGAGTCTCAGCCTTGTGACTGCCAGTCCTCCCTGCCCTTTCAATTCTGAGGCTGATTATGTTGGGCTTTTTCCTCTATGAGCTCCCGTTATTCTCACCAGAGATCACTGGTTCACTGCATGTCTCCGCAGAGAACCAACATTTATCTTTGTGTCCCTGTGATTATGTCTGATTAATACAAGTTTAATTTTTTATTATTTTCTCTCTTTATTTTTCTTAGGGCTTATTTTGTTCTTTTACTGACTTACTGAGGTGGGTGCAAGCTCAGAGCTGCACCTTTCCCTGGGGTGCGGGCTTTGGCTGCACGCCATGTCATCTGACATGTGATCTTTTCTGCGTTTAATTTCTAAATATTTTCCATTTTCTACTGTTGTTATTTCTTTTGTCTGTACATTATTTAGAAGTATGCTGCTTAACTCTCAAACGTATGGGGGTTTCTAGCTACACCTGAGCTATTAGTTTCTAGGCTTGTTGAGCTGTAGTCAGAGAACCAGCCCTGTCTGATCTCACGAATTTGACGTGTGTGGAGATTGGCTTTATGGGTGGAACATGGTCTGTTTTATGTAATGGCTGAAGTGTCCTTGAAAAGGTGATGCAGGATGTTCTCTTGGAAGCAGGTCCTCCATGTGGTGCTGTGCAGCTTGTTACTGGGATGCTCAGCTCTTTGTGCCATTACTTGTGTGTTTTGTGAGCTGCTGTCTGTCCCTCCATGGGGAAGAGTCTCCTGCATCTTTGACCACCTTTCTTGCACCCTGCCTGTGATTTCAGTCCCAGGGCTGTGTGCTGTATACCTGCTCCTCCAGGTAACCCACACGGCACCGACTGCGGTGGGTGCTCCCCATGCCCTTCCTGGAGCAGGCCTGGAAGGGTTTAGTCGCAGCTCCAGTCCCAGGGCCATGGAGCCACAGCACAAGGAGGGTGGGTGGGAAATAATGAAGGCTCTTAGCACCCCAGCGCAAATGTGCTCGAACTAGGGTTACTGGTGATTGTTCTAACACTGCATGTTTAACCTACCCCTTCTGTTGGATATCAGTTTGCTTTGAAGGAGAAAATCTTAACATGACATGTTGAGGTTTGTGAGCACATTCTCATGTTGAAACATTCTGTTCAGCCGCTTACTAGTTGAGCATGTTTTCACTCCAAGTGGGAAGGACGTAGATGGGTTTTGTAGCCTCCGCCTCTGGAAGCTTGGTGGCCGGTCACCTCTGAGCCTGGGCTGAGCAGGGCAGGAGGGCGTGCGTTCCCTCTCTGCCCTCACATTTACACACAGGGCATGGTGTGTGTATGCTTCATTTTAAAGATAAATAGATCCAGAATTCTTCCTGAGAATTCTTTCTGTAGGATGTGGCTTGGTGGTCATTTGCCCTAGTGTTGAACTGGCCATGACCTGACTGTGGACTTAAGTGTGTGGCTCCCTGCTGTGGGCAGGGGAAAGGAGGGTGGGATTGAGTATTGTGTATCCCCTTAAAAATTCATAAGAATACATTAAAAATAACTTAAACTTGTATTTAGGAAGAAGACTTTTAATTAAAAGTATATTGTTGAGAGTTCACTTCTGAAATGATGAAAAAGCTTTTAATATTAAATTAAACGAATATAAGTAATTGAATCTTCTTATTCACAGAGAAGTCTCTCTAGTGGGCGCAGAGGACAGTCTGCCTGGCCAGAGGCGTGGTCCTGGTCACTGTTTTAGTTCTGCTCACACTGAAAGATCAGAGGAAAAATAACAACTAAACAGATTTCAAGGTAAGTAAAAATCTAATGAAATCTTACTGATTAAAAAATGACTTTTGCTTGTTGTAAACTGTTTAATTAGGCCTTTTGGCTTACCTTTTTAAAAAGAATTTTATTGAATAATTTCCGGCTCAGATTATTCTGAACCAGTAGTTAGTTCAGTTATGATCTTGCTGTGGTCTCAGATTACCTGTGAGTCTCTGTGGCCATTTCTGGAGAGATGTCCAGCCACTCTCTTTGGGGACAGGTCACGTTTATGGGTCAGGGCATTGTGTCAGGCACCAGGCTAGACTTGGGGAGAGCTCTTACCATCAGTTATTCTCTTTGAAAGGCTAAAATAAATTTTCTTTAGTACTTAACTTTTGGTGACAGTTACATGATTCAGTATTTCCTTTTGAAGAAGTTGAGATGACTATTAATATCCTAGTAAAGAGGGTGGTGCCTGTGGCTCAAAGGAGTAGGGCGCCAGCCCCATATACTGGAGGTGGTGGGTTCAGACCCAGCCCTGGCTAAAAACTGGAAAAAAAAAAAAATCCTCGTAAAGTCAGTGTGATAACAGGTTAATTTATCGATGGTCCAGCAGGGGTGTCCAACGTGCAGCCTGTGGGCCGCATGCAAATTATTGAGGACTCGTCTGCTCATCTGTGGTGTCAGGTATCATGGAAAGTAGCACAGACTTTTTTTTTCCCCTCAGCTTTTCTAAGTGTTTGTATATTTAATGTGTGGCCCAAGACAATTCTTTTTTCCCCAATATGGAGCAGAGAAGAAAAAAGGTTGGATACCCCCGGAAAGGGTGACTAGAAAGTCAAGTCTTAAATTTCCAGGGATGCTTTCTCTTGGGTTTGGATGAGTGAGAAGAAGAGAATGCTGTCAGAGGGCAGGTGCATGCTCACAGCATTCAGGTGTGTTTCTCTGCTGGTCGCCCACTAGCTGGTCCAGGGGTGTAGCGTGCCTATTGGTCTTGGGTGCATCCAGGTGCAGCAAAGACCAGAGCTCACTTGGCAGCTTACGTGTGAGTGGCTTGGTGGACGTTGAAGGAGAGGATGGCTGTGCTGCCAACTTGGGAGTCCTTGGGCAGCACTTAGTGCCTTGGGGCCAGGGGAGGTCTCCTGGGGTGCAGGCCTGGACAGCCAGGAGCAGCTGGAGGCCCCACTGAAAGGTTGCCGTCTTTGGGAGTAGAGATGCACCCACATCTGACCACTCAGTTTAGGGTCTGTGCCAGGAGAGGCTCTGCTTGTCATTTCTGCATCCGTCAATGCCAGCAGTTGAAGGTTCCTGACTCCCCAGTGAGAATTTGTTTTGTTTTGTCTTCAGCTGATGCTTTTTATTTTTTGCTCATGGGCTGTCAGAGCATAGGAAGGGCAAAATCACAGTTGCTTTTACCATTGCTTGTGCCGTGAGATGGAATTTTATTTTCAGTTGCAGCCCTTCAAGCTCAGTTGGTGATGGGAAATCAGTTTCTCCACAGCCAAAGGTTATCAAAAGGCAGTGAGAAATCAGAGCTGGACGGCAGCTGACAGAGACATCACAGCTTCTTGTTGCTAAGGGAGGTGTCATTTATGAGCACCTATTTTTAACATGCAAGTACAGCATTGTATTAATTATGCTGTCCGTGTGAATAGCAAGTATTTTTATATACTGTAAGCATGCATTGGAGGAATAAGTTATTTATGATCCTTTGCACAAATAAATTGTTCTTAAAGGCATAGGAAAAATAATCAGGCCAGAAGGAGGTTTCTAACACATGTGCTGAGAAAGCAGAACTAAAGGGCTGGGAATGATAAAATATTACATTATGAGTCATCTCTCCTCCTACTGATTCTGTGTTCATAAACGTTAGCTGTAGAATAGAAATTTTGTATTTATTTTCTTTCATAAAAAGAAAGCTAATTTTGGCAACAAATAGTTTGGTTTATTATTATTTTCCTTTTCCTGGGTGTTTTGAAATAAAAAATAAGTAAACATGAAAGATTTTGGCTAAAACAACGTCTCTCTCAGCGGCAGTGCGGCTTGTCCTTGCCACACCACGCATCTGACTTCTCCCCTGGCGTCTTTTTTGGGTCCTGCATTAGCGCTGACTGTGCAGTGAGACTGCAGTTAGCACTGTAGGTGTGGGGCTTTATTTTTAGTTTCAGGCAGGCTGGCTGTTTTTGCTGTTCTTACTTCTTGAAGAGACTGAAGTTCTTCCTTGTGTCTTGACACATGAGCTTATCTCCTGAGTCTGGAGCATCCTGGGTGGACTCGGTAGCATTCTAGATACTGCTCAGCAGCTCAAATGTTGAAAAGGCCCCAAAGAGACCTGGCCCCTGTTGAAATTGAGAAGCTATTCTCATCTGACTCATTGCCACCATGTACCAGACACTCTCTTTATAACAAGTATTCCCTCCCCTTTTCATTTTAAAATGAACGTCATAGAAGATACTACCTTATAAGTAATTATAGACGTGTACAAGGTTGGATGAGTTTGCGAACTCATCCTGGAAACAGTGCTGCACATCTCCTTGATGAATATCACCACAGCGACCTTGCGGGTGGCCTTTCCTTGGCCATCTGGTGACCATAATGATATTCAGCAATGAGGTACGTGGCACCTTTTCTAGGATGATTTTGTAAACATAACTGACCTCATATAAAACAGTATCATGCCAAAATATATTAATAATATAAAATGAAATTAGAAGTTCATAATACTTCTTATGTCACTGTGTAAACACTGAGGTCACACCCACTGCCCCCTCTGGGCACTACCGCTGCCCTATTCTGTGAACAGCTGGCCTGGCCCAGCCCCTGGGCAGGCTGGAGCAGGAGAAGCAGTAGCATGGAGCCCAGTGCTAAGAAGCAGCTGTGTCTTGAGGGGCTGGTGCTTTCCAGGAGGCTGTTATTCAAGGCTTATACAGCAATGTGGGCACTTTCCCTGGGGGGTCCTGGTGCTGCCTGCTGTCGTCCTGTCTGGTGGGGTCCTGGTGAGTAACTCCGTGGCCTTGGGCAGGGCTCCTTTGAGGTGTGAGGGTCGTGGAGGTGAGCAGTCTGGGAGAACTGTCAGACCAACAGAGGCTGTTAAGTAAAGTGGATTGTTACAGTGGCACTGAATTCTAAATCCTCAAAATCGTGGCAAAAAAATTGATGTATTTTCCTCTTTAAAGTGATTTATTAGCTAGAATAATCTATTGAGCAAAGGTGATGCCTTCGTATGTGAGTATTCCAGAAGATTACTGAAATAAGATAAAACTTTGGCTGAAAATGAGAAGTTCCTTTCAATATATTCTGGTGTGAGTCACGAGAAGGCTTGTCTTGTGGTGTTTCTCCTGATTCACTTGCTTCAGCTTGAGAGATGTTAGTGCACATCTGGCGTCCTTCTGTGGGCTCAGCAGGTGGGAACAGCCGCCAAGGCCGAGTTTGTGTGTGTCTGAAGCCTTGCGAGGAGCTAGGATGGCTTTTCTAGCAGGCTCTGTCATTCCCCAGAGTTTTAAAATCCTTCCTATTTGTTCTTCTATGCGGTAACTGGGGAGCCAGACCCAAGAAATGCCTCCCCACCAGGTTCTGCCTGCAGTCTCCACACTTGTGGATGAACCTCTCAATTGAGCCCGTCAGAGTCTCCAGAGCAGACACAACCCTGGGTGAGGGGCTCGTTTACAAATGGAACTTTACCCTGGAAGTGATAACAATGTAACCTAAAAATTGTACCCTCATATTAATTTGGAAAAATAAAAAAATGCTAAAAGAAATAAATCTGCAGAACAGGCCCAGGTCCCCAGTGCTCAGCAGGTGTGGCTGCACGTGTGGCCCAGACTGGGTGGCCGCAGTGGGAAGGGGATTCGTTTTCAAGAGCAACACTCCAGATGTGGGTTTGGTTGCACAGTCTTTTTGTCCAGTTATGTCCAAGTAAAATGACAGATTCTCCCCAAACCTGTGCAGTAAACTGCGTGTCAGTATAGTCTCAGCATGTTGTGTCTGTCCAGAATTTTGGAAGGTTAGGAGAGGATGATGCCATGGAAGCGGTGACTCACTGCCACTTTGTAGGCGGAGACTTCCAGACTGAGCGCCAGAGAGGGGTAAAGGAGAAGTGGAAGATGTCCTTGTGCACACTAGAAAATGATGATATTACAGGAGGCAGGGCCACGGCTAGCGTCCCGGCCAGCTCCTCAAGTCCTGCTCACTTCCTGTCTCCTAGATTGTGGATCATTAGTTTCCACAGTCATGTGCTTCTGGCCTACAGTCCTGGTGATCTGTACTCATCTCCCTGGTAGAACTGGTTAGTTGTCTCCAGGGTCAGCTCAGATCCAGATCGCCAGGCCCTGATTCTGTTCTTTGACATGTCAGCAGCTGAGGCTCTGACCTGTGTGTGCCCTCTGCACACACCTACTGCTCCTGCCCCGTGGCCCTCTCTACAACATGGCAGTTTGCTTCTCAAGGCCTGCGGGCAGGGTCTTCTCCGCTGTCCACCTCTCCCAACTTTTCCTGTCCTGCAGAGGCTTACCTGGTCAGACCCACTAGGACAGTCTCCCTCTCAATGAACTCAAAGTCAGCTGATTAAGGACCTTAACTGTACAATTTGTACAACTCCTTCCCCTTTCCCTTATGTGGCAGAACAGCCCAAGTGTCCACCAGGTCCCCCTGCCCCAACCTCCTGCACAGGAAGGGATTTTACAAGGCGTGTGCGCTGGGGGCAGGATGCCAGCTCCACACAGACCAGGAGAAGGATTTGTCACACCTGTGCCTGACAGTGCACTTGGTGAAGGGGGGTGCCTGGAGGGGCATCTGACAGACAGAGGCCTGGCCTGGTCTCTAGAGCTCATAATGCATGAAGTCTCCCAGGGGCTCAAGGCAGGACAGTGGATGTGGGGCAGACACTTGCACAGAAGTGGACTCTAAATGGCTGAGAAGCACATGCTCACGTGCTGAGCAAACCTCAAGGACCTCCTGGGGGGCTGGAACCCAAGAGTGAGGAGGGTGCAGAGATGAGTAGGTCTTGCTGTGAAGGCCACAGTGGGAGCCACAGATGTGGCGGGCCC